TTGGTTGGAAAGTCATTGCATGCTACACTTGGGGTTATATATTTGTCTGAAAAGGTCATTCCTCAGGGCTTTTTTCAACATTTCTCAGTTTTGCTGTGGTGAAACTAGCAGGTTTTTCATTGTAGGATAAAACAAAAGGAGACGGGAGAATTTGTGAGCCAATCACAAAATGTCTTGAGAAGATCAATGAGGCGCTCAACGGTGAGGATGTCCTTGAATTAAACTGATATAGTTCAGTTATTGATTAAATGAATATTTCTCTTATAGTTTCTTGGTTTGTGTTTCGTCTGTAGCGTCGTCTTTGACAGGCATGGTGTCCAGACTAGAGATGATTGCCAAACAAAGAGGGTTCGAACTTTTCCTACATGGTTATATTGCACACTCACACAGATTACATTTTTTATGCATTAACATCAGATCATTTGCAGGGGAAAATGTTGCTTTATTAAGCTGCACATTTGAGGCAGTATTATTGGTGAACTACTAGGGGTGGGCGATCTTTCCCAATTGTAATATCACAATCTTATAACAAACAATTACCCAATATTCCCAATTTTTGATATGCACTATGACTGGAACAAGCCTATCGATTTATCTATATTGCACATATTTAAAACAGTATTGCTAGAAACAATCAGTTGTCAAAATAAAATTAAACCCTGAGTTAAACTTGAAAACACTCCATAGTCTTCAGTGTGTGAATTTCATACATCGAAAGTTATTCAATTAGTGAATAACGTTAGACGGCATCAGTTATTTGCATTCGGCTTTTAAAGCAACACCAAGTAAGTTTTCCTCTACGGTCGCCCTACAGGTTGGAAGTGGAATTGTCCATAACCGCTGTCGTTAATAATTTACCTACTGTCACACACTCGCTTGTTTATCAGCCCTCGCTTTGGAATGAACATGTCCACAGACAAGCTAGAGTATGTTGCAGGATTTCATGAAAGCATGATGTATTGCGACATCAGAAACGAAGAAAAACAAAACAAGGACTGTTGTAACCCTTGACGTAAAGCAAGTCAATCTGTAGTTTTCTCATGTCTCATTTGAACTACAGAAACTCGACCTGATCTGGCAATCTTACATATTTCCAAAGCAAATCCAGAAGTGCCTTTCACCCTGTTACGAATTAATGAAGCATTGAAACCATTTTGGAAACATTATTTTAAGGTAAAAAATCTTACTTAGTGTTGCTTTAAGACCGAGTGTGTAGATCTAATGACACTCATCAGAATTGTGGAACTGTTGAGACATAACTGGCTATATGTAAAAATTCGCCAAGACGGACATTTTGAAATTGTTTTTCAGATGCATTGTCATGCATGAAACTCGCATGATAGAGTAACAGCACAGCCATCTATTGGCAGTCATCGCTGTTTTAAAGTCCCCTGTGGTAAAAGACAAGTTTTTAATGTTGTTTATGTGTCTATGTGGTGTTTTTGATATGCTTTAACGCTTTTTTTTCTGACGTCACAAACCACCTTGTAACCAATCAGATCAACGTGTGATCTTCAACCAGTGGATCTCTGAGTGAGTGAGTGGAGGCAGGGCTCATTTGCATATTCATAGAACCGTGCATACTAAATGAGGCAAGGGTGTCGAGTTACATTAAAGCTATTTTAAGGCATGACGATTTTTTTTCAAGGAAAAAAACAATAAATATGTCATCACATGATCAAAGATGAGTTTTAAGGGATAAAATTGACTACGGAGGACTTTAACATTATTACGAGGATATAAAAGATCACAATCTCTACGATTCAAGATCTCTTCAAGATCGATCACGGTGTAAAATCATCAGATCGCCCACCAGATTGTATGTGTACAACCAATGGCAGAAGGAGGGATTCAGGAAACCTGTTTGAATACAGACATTTTCACTATAGAGGTAGAACATACACCCGTGTAGAAATGATGCTTCTAATGAAGTTGTTTTTCAGACTATCAGCATAATCGTCTCTGTTTGCATGCCTCCCCAAGTAAAACTGTGTCAATATTGTCTTGGATCACTATCATATTTCATTGCCGTCAGTTCCTCCTCCAGTGGCGCTTACTAACTCTGTGTCTGCAGATTGGGGTCACATCTGAGCCCCACAGAGACGGTGTGCTATCTGACCGCAGACCTGTTTTACATCGAGGTGGTCCTGCTCCCGGGAGGACGGGTGGAAGATGTGCGGGCGGCCCATCGCGGCGAAGCTCCGGTGGTGAGACAAAGGGCTCAGAAATTTTTTTTTTTGGTTTATTTTACACTGTAACAAAATAATTGTGATTTTTAACGGTAAAATAATCGTGATTTTTAACGGTAAAATAATCGTGATTTTTAACGGTAAAAGAACGTAGAAATGCTACAGTGAAAAACAGTTAAAGTCTCTGTACTATACGGTGTTTTTACTTGCTGTGAAAAGAACTTAAATTGACATTGACATTTTCTTTTTAATCAGTTATTTACATAAGGGTTTTGTTAAATTTAATGTTAAATTATTGTTTATTGCTTTAGTTTTTTTATTGCATTTCATGTGTTCCCATGATGGTGTTTAGGGTGTGTGTGTGAATGACACTGTGCAGCTTCTGTTACTATTAGCTTCATAGTGGGAAAGCTGTGTGATGAGCTTTGATTCATCATGTGACTCCGCTGTGATTGGTGGTTGTCAGTGCAATGGTACAAAACAGATATCAATACTTCAATAGGTTGTTAAATTAACATTATATCAGATAATGATGTTTTACTGTACTGTAAATTTGAGTTAAGTCTGTAAAACCTAAAATGTTGCTTCCATATTATATACGGTTGATTCCTGGCAACCACAGCTGCCATTTTTCTTTACTGTAAATTTAACAGACTTTTTTTTACAGTGTATTTATACAGCACAACTACAGTTTGGCCGAAATGCTGTACAGAGATCATAAAATGTAATGTCAAAATACAAAGACATCAAAAAATAGCATAAAACAACAACAGACAAATATGATTCGATGCCCAGAGGAGTTAAAAGATGAGTTTTTAGTCACCCTAAAGTTTTAATCTAGCTCTGATCTTGGATTCAGAAGTAACTGATCGGAAGACCTCAGGGATCTGTCAGGTGTACGCCAGTCCACTAAGGAATCAAGATATGTTGGTGGCGAACCATTCAAGGATGTAAAAACGAACAATAAAAGTTTATATTCTATACAGAAGCAAATCGGCAACCATTGGAGTGAAGACGAAATCATGGGAAAGATTGTGTGAACTGCATTCATGTGTTTTTTTATGTTTGTTTGTTTTTAGTCCAGTCCATCCCTCCTTCAGTTGTTAAGGTAAATAGAAATGTTCTTTATGTGAAACATAAAATAAATCTATGCTTTTTAGAGTGAAAGTAAAAATGGTTCTTGCATTCCCTCAGGATGAAGAAATTTCAAGAGTTCTCTCTAAAGTTGGATGATCTCGTCGCCTTTTACAACATCCAAGGAGACTGGTATTTCCTTCTGGTGTCTGATTAGGTGAGAATTTATACTATTTGTATATTTCTCTAATTATGAGTGTGTTCTGGCAGTGATGTCAAGGCTAAAATCTACTCCGCTCTTCGGCACCTGGAAACTGATCTCTTCAAAATATCCCATTTACCAAGGTGAGGGAAACTAGCACTAACACATGTTTCTAGATGAGTGTATTATGGTAAAAAGTGATGAACAATGCCTCTTATACTTGTAGATCTTTGAGAGAAAGTGACCTTCACGTTGACCTCATTATGAACGGCAGGATTGGGAATGTCCAGCCGGGCAGAGACGGTACGCGAGGGAGAAACTGTATCGGATCAGCGTGTTTTAATATAAATATTAAAGCGTTTTTTCACTCCAACTTCCTCACAGGAACTCCAATGACAGTCGAGTACTACATACGTCCATTAGATGTTCTCACGGGGTTATCGGACACAGGTATTAAAACATGGAACTTCTAATACAGTGTTTAATACTATTAATTAACCATTAAGTAGATTATATTTTAATATTATTCATCATTATTGTTATTATTAGGGATGCACCGATAATTTGGCCGATACCGATAATTTTAATACAGTGTTTAATACTATTAATTGTAGAGAATCGAGGCGAATCAAACACAACTTAATCAAATTAATCTCTCATGGGATTAATTCACATGGCTTCAACACTCCAAGTTCTGGAGCCCACATTCCAGAGTCACGGAACGACTCCGTGCTGTCTGCAGATAAGGACTTTTATTGCCCCACAGGCCCAAGAGAGGGGCACTAAACAGGACGAACGTGTCAATATGGTAATGTTACTAAGACAAATCTGCTCCAAAATGGTGGAACGAGAGGCTCACATCAAAGACCCCTCTGATGCCCTGACAGAGATGTTCCACAGAACACCTTTGCCTCGTCCCCCTTCGAGTTGAACTCTCAGTAACCTTACAATTGAGATCGGAGATCTCACACATAAAATCATATAAACTCACCACAGAACAATTCTTGAACTTTTAATCAAACCTCACAAGTCTCATTGCTTTCTGCAATTCATGTGTTGTTTGTTAATGCTTAGATCACATATGAATCATGTAATTGTTGTTAACTATTAACTCTTGTAATTGTTATACAACCATTAGAAGTGTGAATGCCTCATTTACTCTTAAACGAATCGTATTCTCCTAATTCAAAAGATGGCTTGATTGAAATCTGCGTAAAAGGTTTTGTTTTATTATTATAATTATCATAAGGTTAAAACGATGGTCTTTTGTCTCTGCTAAGTGCTGGAGACCAGCTCACAGACCATGCATAAATTATGATAAAGCAAGAAGTAGATCCGCCTCCAATTGGCCAGAAGCTTCTTGGAGGTTGGACTAGAGTTTAAGTTAAAGATCCGAACAAAGGACCTCAAGATCAGATTTTTGTAGATTTTAGAAGATTTCAGTGTTTGCACATTTAATGTCTTGTACTGTTCGATTTAAAGTTACCTTGCTAAGACATAGTGTTTCACTATAGATTTGGTTATAATTACGGCCCGTTCAAATGAACTCTAAGCGAGTCATTTGCTCGGTTCAGTGATTCGGTTCCATAGATTCATTGCAAATCAATGAATCATTTCCCTTTGAGCTAAATTGGCCTTCGGCCCCCTTTAATACATTTTATGTATATTATTATATGTTGCATTTGCTACATAATTAACCATTAAGTTGCTTATATTTTAATATTATTAATCATTATTATTATTAGGGATGCACCAATAATTTGGCCGATACCGATAATTTTAATACAGTGTTTAATACTATTAATTAACCATTAAGTAGCTTATATTTTAATATTATTAATCATTATTATTATTATTATTATTATTATTAGGGATGCACCAATAATTTGGCCGAAACCAATAATTTTAATACAGTGTTTAATACTATTAATTAACCATTAAGTAGCTTATATTTTAATATTATTAATCATTATTATTATTATTATTATTAGGGATGCACCAATAATTTGGCCGATACCGATAATTTTAATACAGTGTTTAATACTATTAATTAACCATTAAGTAGCTTATATTTTAATATTATTAATCATTATTATTATTATTATTATTAGGGATGCACCAATAATTTGTCCGAAACAATAATTTTAATACAGTTTTTATTACTATTAATTAACCATTAAGTAGCTTATATTTTAATATTATTTATCATTATTATTATTAGGGATGCACCAATAATTTGGCCGATACCGATAATTTTAATACAGTGTTTAATACTATTAATTAACCATTAAGTAGCTTATATTTTAATATCATTTATCATTATTATTATTATTATTAGGGATGCACCGATAATTTGGCCGATAACGATAATTTTTTCTATTTGAAAACCGATAACCGATAAATCTAAATCCATATTTTTATATAATTTTTTAGATCTTGATGACAAAACAAGTCTCCTTATTAAAAGCCATGTCCCAAGCACACAATTATAATAATGCTCTCATTATAATTTTATGTAGCTATATGACAGACTTTACTGTATTGTCTTTTTTGAAGTTATTTTAAGCAATTCAAACCCTTAATAGTTAACAGTGCGCATCTGAAGCGTCTCAGCCTAAGGAAATAATGCATTATTTATCGACTTTAATATATCAGCCAAATTTTCTTATGGGCCGATAACGATAACATGAAAAATGAATATACATATATCGGCCGATACCGATATGATGGCAGATATTTTGCATCCCTAACTATGAGTAGCATCAGTATTAATGTAATGTTTAGTCGAGTATGTAATGATTTCCATGCGACTCTTGCAATCCCAGTGTGTAAGCCTTCTGCTCGTGTGGTGGTGTTGAATCTAGGTGACGTGAGTGGTGGCCGGATTGCTCTGGTAATGGTGGGAAACAGTGACGCCTCACACAGACTGCAGATCGAGTCGCTGATCTCTTCTCCACCGCAGGTCGACCTTCTCGGGTGAGTTAGGAGTGTTTCTCACTAATCAGAAATGAGCCGAAAAGCTGCATATGCACTTTTATTTATCATCAGCTAATTTCAAGGTCAAATCGCAGGTGTTTGATTTAGGAGATGAGGGCATGATGAGGCCGAAACAGCACATCCTGTGCAAGTAGACTTTGACTACCGTATTTAGTTTTACTTAACATTGTTTTCTTCATCCACTTTATTGATAGGACCTTTTTGAAGGATATTGGTTTAGTTATGGCCTTTTGTGCACTTGAGCTTAACTGAGAATTGAGTTTGTAGACGTTTAAGAGGCTTTATTTTTGTTTAGTTTTATTTTGATTTTAGAAAATAAACATATCTTGTGTTACAATTCAATTTACTTATTTTCACTGGCAAGTCTCTTAGGAGTTGTGCACTAGTGCATCTTAGAGCCTACGTTCAGTACAAGTAAAATACTTATTAAATTACTGCTGAAATCAGATACTCTAAGACTTTTACTCAAGTCGTATAGGAATTGGTGGCATGTAACTTGTAAAGGAGAAATGTTTGCTGTAAGGTATGTGTACTTTTACCCAAGTATGGTGTTCAGGTACTCTTCTGAGTCTGTTAATGAAAAGGATTGTGTGCTGAGACGTTTCATTTGCTGCAGTTTGCGCGTCAGCTTGCTGAGAAGATACTCAGTAAAAGTGACATAAATGGCTTCAACACTAGATGCATTTTTGGGAATTTATGCCAGATTTACTAAAGCACAAATTAGCATGAAAGCGCAAAATCAAAAAAGCTCAGATGGTAGTGGAAAGTTCTGTGCGTGATCTACTGACGACACGCAAATTAAAGAAAAGAGATGCAACCGGATCATTTCCATAATGGCCAACGCAAGCTACCAAGAGCAGCGCAAATTAGCATCTGCTTATTTTTGGTGGTAAATGGCACAAATACAAGTAAATTGACTTGCACAAACCTTAGTAAATCACTTTGCTTGATTATTTTGGTTATTTTTGGTGGTAAATGGCACAAATACAAGTAAATTGACAAGCGCAAACCTTAGTAAATCTCTTTGCTTGATTATTTTGGTTATTTTTGGTGGTAAATGGGACAAATACAAGTAAATTGACTAGCACAAACCTTAGTAAATCACTTTGCTTGATTATTTTGGTTATTTTTGGTGGTAAATGCCACAAATACAAGTAAATTGACTGGCGCAAACCTTAGTAAATCACTTTGCTTGATTATTTTGGTTATTTTTGGTGGTAAATGGGACAAATACAAGTAAATTGACTAGCGCAAACCTTAGTAAATCACTTTGCTTGATTATTTTGGTTATTTTTGGTGGTAAATGGCACAAATACAAGTAAATTGATTAGCGCAAACCTTAGTAAATCACTTTTCTTGATTATTTTGGATATTTTTGGTGGGAAATGGCACAAATACAAGTAGATTGACTAGCACAAACCTTAGTAAATCACTTTTCTTGATTATTTTGGTTATTTTGGGTGGGAAATGGCACAAATACAAGTAAATTGACTAGCACAAACCTTAGTAAATCACTTTGCTTGATTATTTTGGTTATTTTTGGTGGTAAATGGCACAAATACAAGTAAATTGACTAGCACAAACCTTAGTAAATCACTTTGCTTGATTATTTTGGTGGTAAATGACACAAATACAAGTAAATTGACTAGCGTGAACCTTAGTAAATCACTTTTCTTGATTATTTTGGTTATTTTTGGTGGGAAATGGCACAAATACAAGTAAATTGACTAGCACAAACCTTAGTAAATCACTTTGCTTGATTAGTTTGGTTATTTTTGTGCCATTTACCACCAGAAATAAGTAAATTGACTAGCACAAACCTTAGTAAATTACCTTGCATGATTAATTTAAATACTCTCCTCCTATAAATCTTCCATCTGAAAGGGAAACTCCTACAAATACATATGCAATAATGCCCAAAGAGGCTTTGCGTTGGAGCAAGCTGTTAGTGAATCCGGCCCCTGATGTTTTCCCGATCGGATAGCTAACGGATTAGCATGCAGTGACCAGGTGTAAACAGGCCTTTCCCTTGAACTCCAGTTTACAGACGTCCCACGGGTCCTTGAAATCGATGAAAGTTTGTGAATATGAAAAAATAAAAAAATTCAATGCCCTGGAAAGTTTTGGAAAATAAATGCATACATTTGCACAATTTATTTTGTGCAAGAATGAAAAATTCCATATCCCTCCAGTCTGCTAATGTGTTTTCTCGCCAACACTTCGTGGCCTATGCATACTAACGTTAGTTACGCGCATTTACGCTTTACGTCGTAAAGTGTTTCCTGCATGAGGTACTTAGTGTTGTACCATGACGTTCAAGCGCACGAAACTACTACGTTTCATGCTAAATTTTATATAAAATAATTTTAGAATACAGTAAAGGGTGTACCGAATATTCTTCAGTTTTATGCAAAACAGAAATACGACAAATAGAATATCAGATCTGTCATATGGCCAAACATAAACTTTGTTTGCATACAGTAGTTGTGTTTGAAACATGAAATCTGTTACAAGGAAACACGACGTAACCTTGATTTTGAGGGTATTGGACCTTGAAAGGTCCTGAAAGGTGTGGGAACCCTGAGTTTAGCTCTATAGAGAGACGAATGAATGGTGCAAGATTGATTTTTCTTGATATCCGCTGAAATGCATCAGTCTTTATGTGTGTATGCTTTAGGTTTCCCGTGTTTCAGCCGCTCACCGACTCGTGCTCAGAATTACTCCCTGCCACCTTTCTTCTCAAACTACAGCCACCGTTACCCATGCTTAGTTCCTTCATAGAGAAAGTGGGCACAATCACAGGTGCATTATTCCCTGACTGAGATCTGTTCTGTTGCTTTTGAAGTTGAACCACATCACGTAGCTTTGCCGAGTAACCAGTCTCCTAACGTTCCCCAGATGGGGTTATGTCTGAGAAAGACCTGCAGATGGAGCCTCTACCTCAACTTCTCATCAAGCACAACTCCCAGATCTCCTGGACAGATGGGATTCAGTTTGTTGTGGTACACTTTACATAAACAACTGTTAGCCATTATAACTCTCTGTATTGCATATTCAGAACTGTTGTTTTGTCCATTACTGGCTACTGTTGCAAAGTGTTATTTGCATTGACTTGTACTTGTCATTCTTTGCTGCTAGATGAGTGTTTATTTTGGGATAGCTTCATTGATTCGCTGCTTTATTTTCCTTGGTTGTCGTCTTTTTCACATTTTTCAGCCATTGCCTGCGTCTGAGTACCACAGTTATGTGTTCCCCGGGGCCGAATGGGGCCGCGAATCATGGAAAGGAGCCTTAATTCACACAGTCCCCTTCCATCACCCCGGCCACGTCCCGGCCTTACTAGACGTCCTTCGCCATCAGTCGGCCATCAATGTGCTACTGGAAAGCTGTTTCAGTGACCACACCCATCACATAGGTTATTATTAATGCCATGTATTCATGCTTTAGACATGCAACATGTTCTCCTAGCCACCTCAGACTCATTTTGTAATCATTTTTCATAGATTCTGGCTTACAGTATGACTTGAGATGTGAGGTCCTTCCAGAATCAGACCACTGCCTTTCTGTTACGTTCAGCCTTGACGAAAGCAACCACCTGGCTGTTCGTAAGCACCCTTACACACACTGGGTGGATTCACAATACAGTTTAGACTAACATTAAGGGAATTCATTGCATGGATATTGAACTGTTTTGCATCTATTTTAAAGTGTAGTCAATAATTTATCGCTTTGATCACCAAAAAATGTCTTCATGCATGCCTTAAAACAGCTTGAATGTAACTCGACACCCTTGCCTCATTTAGTATGTGCGGTTCTATGAATATGCAAATGAGCCCCGCCCTCACTCACTCAGAACATCAGAAACACCAGCGATTTCAAAGCGTGTTTTTGAGACTGTCTTTGGTTCACTGCAGTTTTAAGGAGGAAATACTCAGCAATGCTGTCCACTTATCAACTTACACATGGATTGAAAAATAAAAATGTCCATCAGATATCTTAAAATCCCTATTTAGTCATTCATTTTATCCCTTAAAACTCATTTAATGACGCATTTAATCGTTTTTATCCTTGGAAAAAAAATCGTCATGCCTTAAAATAGCTTGAATGTAACTCGACACCCTTGCCTCATTTAGTATGTGCGGTTCTATGAATATGCAAATGAGCCCCGCCTCCACTCCCTCAGCTCAGAGATCCACTGGTTTGACGATCACACGTTGATCTGATTGGTTACACGGTGGTTTGTGATGTCAAAAACACCAGCGATTTCAAAGCGTGTTTTTGAGACTGTCTTTGGTTCACTGCAGTTTTAAGGAGGAAATACTCAGCAATGCTGTCCACTTACGCTTTAAGACAAACCATGTGTAAATTCATATTAAAAACACCACATAGACACACAAACAACATTTAAAAGCTTGTCTTTCACCACAGGGAGCAGTCAGCATGTGTGTAGTGTTGAACATGTCATGTTTACCGCATTAGTTCAGGTGACGGTGACGGACGCTCATCAGATGAGCTGCAGACTTATGATGCCCGATTTTGTGGATCATAAATTGGATGACTACATATCTCGAGTCCTTATGCGGTACGTACAACATTTCGCTGTTTACATCAACACACTCCACATGCTCACTAATTACAGTGATGATGCATTTAGAAACTGTTAATGTAACAAATGTGAAAAACGTTGTTTTGTTAACCGACCGTACTCAATTCTTTAGGGCGGTGAAACGATTAATCGCATCCAAAATAAAAAAATTTTGTTTACATAATATGTGTGTGTAGTGTATAATTATTTTGTATATATAAATACACACATATGCATGTAATATTTAAGAAAAAATGTGTTCTTAATATATCAAATATTTATATTATTAATTTTGTATAAATATATATAAAGTAAATACATTTCTTAAATATATACATGCATGTGTGTGTTTTTATATATACAAAATAATTATACACACTACACACTCACATATAAACACAAACTTTTATTTTGGATGCGATTAATGGTTTCACAGGCCTACAATACTTAAAGAGATAGTCAACCCAAAAATGAAAATTTCCATCTTGGTTACTTGCCCTTGTTCCAAACTCATAAGACTTTTGTTCATCTTTGAAATGCAAATTAAGATATTTTTAATTTCTGTCCCTCCATTGAAAGTCCATTCCACCAAAACATTGATGTTTCAAAAGGTCCATAACGAAACGCATGACTTTGGATAAAAAGCGTTAGCTAAATGAATAAATGCATACGAGTGGAATGGTTTAATACCCATTTCTGATGACACCCGATCATTGTGTTTTATGAGGAACCGATTTATTGTAGAGTTGTTTGCAAATCCACATAAATAGAGCGCATCAGAAATGATCAAGTCACCTTTATTTATATGCCTCTTTTAGTTTTAACAATATACAAATGAAACTCGAAAAATAAGAATATGGTGCAAAAGTATTTCAGTAATTCAACTTAAAAGGTGAAACTAATATATTAATAGACTCATTACATGCAAAGTGAGATATTTCAAGCCTTTATTTGTTATAATGTTGATGATTATGTCTTACAGATATGAAAACCTTTTCACAATATTGAGGTTTTCATATCTGTAAGCCATGATCATCAACATTATAACAAATAAAGGCTTGAAATATCTCACTTTGCATGTAATGAGTCTATATAACATATTAGTTTCTCCTTTTAAGTTGAATTACTGAAATGAACTTTTGCACAATACTGTAATTTTTCGAGTTTCACATATAGATTTACAGTGATATTATGAGATTACAGTAACAGATTGTTTTGGCTTTACAGCAGCTCTAGAATAAAGATAATGTCCAGCTAAAGGTAGTTTTAATTGATTCACTTTTGTCACAACGATCATTAGGGCCGCTAACACGACACCGGGTAATAAAGCTCAAGAGTTTGTGACCGAAATCTCAAGATTGATTAATAATCTCTTTATTTGTGTTTTGAAGATGAACAAAGTCTCATTGGTTTGATGACAGAATTATTTTTTGAGGGGGAGCTATTTATTTTCAGCAAAATGAGACTTATTCGAAACATTCTTCACATCCTCCAGAGTCCTGTCATGTTTACTAAATATTTGGGCTAGTTTGATTGCTTTCACCTACGTGTAAGGGTGTCGTAGTCATGACGTTTAAAACAAACCATGTTTCCAAGCGAGCCTTGTCCCTTACGACAGCTTGTGTTTTGAATCCTCATTCACCCTCTTTTTGTTTTTCCCAGATGCATGTCCATCCCCATCACAATGAGGGCCATACGCAAGAAAGTGTCCCCCCTGACGACCCGAGCCAAACCTGTACCGGAGCCAGACCTCAGCACGGCGATGGAGATCACATCAGCTCCTCGCTCGTGTGAATCTGCCCCTGAGATCCCCCATGAGGCCGTTCAGGAGGAGAGAACGGCCTCCTCTTCTCCAGGCTACTATCTCATGTCTGTTTCTTCCCCAGTGGCTGATAATGCTAATGCTAATACAGATGCGGTTGCTAACCCTTCCCCGTGTGCGTCTCTGGCTGTGTATTCACACTGGGTGACCAGTGGACTCCCAGCAGAGCTCCTGTAGGAGGAGGGATTTTACTAGGGAATATTTTAAGATTTTTCTATTTTTAGACAAATCGTAAATAAAGGTGTTATTTTAAAGTCACCATGAACACCATGAATTTTTGACAAATATTGCAGTATTTATCATAAGTGATTTTTCCGTGCAAATCATTATTTTTAATTCATGTTCCTGGTAATCTTGAACAAGAATCAGTTCCTCCTCAGCATCTCTTCTCTGATGATGTGGGCAGGGCTATAACCTGTCACTCACATGAGATCAGCCAATAGCAAACCACAACCATCCAATCAGTTCCTGCCCAACATTCTTGTTCCAAAAGCCATTTTCACTTGGATATTCAGTACATCACGACAAGGGAGAAAAGAATAAGAGCGTATAGAATATGAATTAAGGTCTGAATAAGATCTCAAAGCTGTTCTGGTCATATTGTTCTAGTGGCGGTGTACGACACACCTGTGGTATTTCCGCAAGGGTCTGAAATTAACACTTTCTAAGCAGAAAATGCAAGTAAAGATTGTGAATTTAAAAATGCAAAATGCGCACTAACCATCTTCTTAAATTTGTAATGAGAATCATTTATAAAACTGCGGTCAAGAGGATCTTTAGGGTCTCCCTGCAGTTTCATGACTAATTAAAAGCTCTAGGGTTTAACATTTGAATGTTTAAAATAAAAGAAATTAAGAAGCTTGTTTCTGCCACAGAATTAAAAAAAAAATATATTAGGGTAATGGCAAAAATTCTCATTTTTACTTTTTTTTTTTTCTTCTTACAATTTTTTTTTTGCCGCTACAGAAAAAAAGTAAACTTAAAAAAAGGGTAATTTCAGCTTTTATCTCACAATTCTGAGTTTGTTTTTTAATTGAAAGGAAAAAGTCGCAATTACTTTTTTTTCTTTTCTTTAATCTTCAGTATTAGTATTGTAATGTCCTGTTAAATGTCTCAATCACTGCTGAGGAAACAAGCCAACAAAATTACGCTGGCTTTTATTTTAAGAAAAAGTCATGCATGTTCTTGTTTTGGGGTTATTTGACAATGAGTCTGGATATAAATTAAATCCCCCTTATTTTAATTTGTCAGCGATTGTAATTTTACTAAATTCAAGTACACCATTTAGCATTTTATTTCGGAACTTAGACCTGCAATATTCAGACATGTCTACTTGTACTTTGTGGTGCCAAATTTATCTCAATCCAACTAAAAAATGAATAAATCTAGCTTTAAATAACATAATCTTTAATCAAAACAAGCATCCTTATGCAATGACATCTCTTCTCTGACGATATGTTTACTAGCAAACCATCAACTCCCACCCAACATTTCTGTTCTCATAAAAAGAAGAAGCTCACATCAGATAATACACTCTTGAAAAGAAAGGATCTGATGGTTCCATAAAGAACCTCCACAAGTGTTCTTTAGATTATTAAAAAGCCACATATATTATACAAGTAAAAGATAAAACATTATATATATATATATATATATATATATATATAAAAAATTATGATATGTATCAAAAATAAATAAATAAACAACTATGAAAAGTGTGCTGTTAAGTAAGTTGTGCATTAAGAAGTGTCAATAATCAAGTCAATGTGCATTATCAAGTCAATAAACAGTCAAATCTCAACAATCCATTGTCACAAGATGAACAACAATCCATTGTCACATTGTCACTTTCAAGTCAAATAAACCACAAAAAGAAAGTAAAAGGCATAAATTTATTAACACAATGTAAATCTCCCAGGTGTGGTCTTCTCTGTCATCCCTCCTCCTTTTATCCTTCCGGAGCTCCTTCATGGGACAGGTGTCACTTATTAGTCTTTGCTCCACCTGCCTCGCTCCACTCCCACAGCCCTCGACACCACAACTGACTGAAAATAGGAATCAACTACTCCATGACCTGAAATAAAAACATAAATCAGTCTTATTTGTACAAATGCAAAAAAAAAAAAAAAAAAAATTCTCCTGTAAAACGCTGTCGGATCCAAATATGGTCATTTCCTTTTTTTCAGCAACCAATCGTGAAAGTAAAAGGGGGGATTTTAACTCTAAATGCGCGATCTCATTGGCTGATGCTAAATCTTCAAAGCCAGTTTTCTCAAAATGACTTTTCTCACACACTCCAAGTCCGAAATCTCCACTAGACACACCAAACTTTCCAGTCTTGTACCTAATTAAATTAAAAAGACATTTACAGAGCGATTTGTAAATATATTATTCCTAGCCTAATTTATATAACATTTTATTCCAAAAAACTTGGCGAAAATACATTTTTTAAGGCTTTTTTTCTCATCTAATATGTGAACACAATGAAAAAATAATTTTCAACCTGGCTTTATCCAATACTCAGATTTCGTTTTTTAAAATATATGCAAAGTAGTGCATATTTAATTAGATAATGCCTCATTTGCATATTTAAACATAAAATTACACAAAACTTGTGATATATTTTTTTTCTCATCTTAATGTAGGTAATCAACTGGGAAAGTTTCATGTTGATATCTGCTAGCTAAAAAAAAATGACCATACTCACCTTAAGAGGAGAAGAGCCAAAACAATAGGGTCCTCTCACCATCGGTGCTCAGGCCCTGAAAAACTTAAGCTAATCTAACCTTAAACCAGTCGTGGAGATGCATCTTCTTCAGAATGGGTCTTTGCTGTTGCCAAGGTTGCAGACAATCACAAATCATCTGGCAGCATTCTGTGCAAAAAGACAAGAGAGATTACATTATGAACATTAACATGTCATTTACATATGCACTATTTTAAAGCTCTTGAACAGTGGTCCTTCTTTGCTCTTGGATGAAGATCTCACCTTGTGATAGGCCAGGACTGCTCCAGATGTTTGCGTTGATCATGTACAGGTCGCTGTCTGAGGGATAACTTCCGCACACCATTGCAAACAGCAGGATGCCTAGAGACCACACCGTCGTCGGCTTGGCGTAGTACTTGCCGTAAACCTCGACCTCTGGAGGACAGTACACCTCTGTGCCTGGAGGAAAAAGATCATGTCTGATATTTAATACATTTCCACAGCATGTTGACCATACATAATGAACAAAGCGGTCATAATGTTCATAATACATACCACTGAAGACATCGAAGGCAGTGTTCTTCATGAGTGCACCGCACCCAAAGTCAATCAACTTGACCTCCATGGTGTCCAGGTTCACCAGCAAGTTCTCCAGTTTGATGTCACGATGGAAGACACGACGCTCGCATGAAATTTGAGCAGCACGAACGGCCTGCCGCATAACATGCCGCGCAGTCTGCTCTTCGAGGATCCCTCCATGGAGCTCCACGAAACTAAACAAGTCCATGCAAGGAGATGGCCGTTCCATGACCATGATGTAGTGGTCCGAGTCGTCCTCCCAGTCCAGCAGTTTAATGATCTCCGGAACCTGGCGACCCTTGTTGGCCATCAATGTCAGGCCGATTTCATTGGGGAGGGGTTTGCGGTGACCAGGCTAAAAGAAAGACAATGTGACCGTTAGATGGAGGTGGTTTCCCAATTAAGGACTTAGTCCACAAATTAATAGAAAAGGTTATAAATAGATGGATGGCACAGCATACTCACCACTTTGACGTATGGCATTTCTGGAAACTTCAGTGAAAACTTCACAGCCACCTGAGCAACAAAACCAAGATTTACCAATTAGTGTGTGCACAGAAATTAGTCATATCATAGCAAACATAAATCCTGAACAGATATGTAGAAAAAGGAATAAAGAGAAACCTTAAGTCCATCCACGCGTCGAGTTCCTTCATAGACCGAGCCAAATCCTCCTTCGCCCAGCTTCTGGCCAATTTCATAAAACTCGCAAATGGGGCCTATTAAAAAAAACAATCACGGTTAGTATGAAATTAAATTATATCTATACATTTTATTTTATAAGTTATAATTTTTTTTAATCTGATTGATGACTTGTTCTTACTCTTGAGCAGGACATCCAGCTCTGGCTGTTCCTCCTCTGACTCTTCCTCCTCTGGCTCTTCCTCCTCTGGTTGTTCCTCGGCAGCAGGGACGACTTCAGAAGTTGGAGCTATATGTTAAATCAAACAAAAATAATGAACAAAATTAGAGTGATTCTTTATGTACACTTAAAAAAATGGAGTAAATTCAAAAACTCAGAAAAACTCAGAAAATTCTAGTAAATTTACACAGATTTGCCAAGTAAAAACCTAAACATATTTATCAGTAGCTTTAATTAGAAATATTTAAGTTAAATTTACTTGGAATATGGAATTAGGTAAACTTTACGGAAAATAAGTAATTTTAACTCGGCTAGTAAAAGGTTGATTAATACCGATTTCCTTTGCCTTTGCATTACATTTCACTTAAACAATAATATTGAATTTTTTTCGTCATTTATAGTATGTGTTCTAGATCATCTATGTAATTTATATTACATCATCACATGTTAAGCATCATGTGAACGCAAAGACCTCAATACTTGGTAGACAATACACATTTGATGGGTCGTTTTTGTGTGTCATTTTGAGCAAAAAAATTAAAATTACTCAAAATATCACAAAATGGCAAGTTACTAATACTGACAACAAAAATCAATGATAAAACAGTGTAAATACAGCTGGAAAACGGTGAAAAATGAACCTCAGTAATTATTCAAGGTCCAGTGCATGATGGGAACCCCAGTATCAGAAAAGTTGAGTCATTTTTACTTAATTTTATTGAGTTGATTTTACACTTTCATTTCTACTCGCTTGAATTAAGTACTGGAATTTACTTCGTTTTTTTTTATTCTTGCCTGAACTAAATTTTTCATGTAAATTACATTGTTTGTTGTTTTTTCACTAGGATTTACTTCACCAAAAAATCATTTTTTACAGTGTAGGGGCACTTGAATTCAACTTCTCTAAATGCAAATCTATTTGTTGCAGAGTTAATTCTCACATACTGACTGGTTTTGTAATGGCATCTAATCAAACTACTCTCAAATCATGCCGTGATCAAAATCTTTCTTTTCATTTTTGATTTGCAACTTTAAAGCTACTGTCCGTTCAAAATTAAAACAATCATGAACCCGTTTTCCAAACCGTGTTTGTGTCTTATCCCGAATTGAATCACTATGGTACACCTCTAATAATAAGTGTTTATATTTGGACAATTTTAGACTGGTTCGGTGTTCTTGGATGAAAAATGGATGCCATAATGACAGCAAATAGTTCTCATTTATTATGAAGAATCATCCATTAATCAATACCGCCCTAAAAAGGCTAACGTTAAGTGCAGTAACTACGCAAACAAAGAAATGGAGAAAGGGGCCTTTAAAGTTTTTATGCCAGCCAGTCAAACATGTTATGGGTAGATTATGTGGTAATACATAGCCGAAACGGGTCATAATTTAACCCAGATATTTTTTTCACAAGACAGAACACAAGCCCGTTCTTTGACCAATTGTATAGTTACTGCGCTTTGCCTTTGTAGGGCAGAAAAGTTGTATCATGACATGTTCGTGACTTTAACGTTACCTTGGCTAAATCTCCGATATAATCCCGAATTATTCTGGAAGTCTTTCTCAGCCTGAGCCAGGTCGTATTTTGCAGCTCTTCGACATCGAAAGTGGAGAGTGGGCCATCTCCTCCAGCTCATTTTCTCCTTTCTCCCTCCATCAATCTCACCAGTCCCAACAGTCTCATCAAGCCGATGAGGATGGTTTTCTGCCGTGTTGGTGGTGTATTTGAGAAGTACACAGGGTTCGCGTACGCACTCCGTGTTCGGTCGTGAACTTTGCTGTCCCATGATAAATACGTTGTCACTCTGATAACAGATAATCCAACACTTCTACCTACAAAATTCACTCTGATAACAGATAATCCAAATCTTCTACTACCTACAAACTGAAAAAGTGACTTTCATTGTTCAATATACTCCAGTCTACTGTGACGTAAAATTAAGTTCTAAAAGTGACGTGCACGTGCATTCCAACGGCTCTGAGCGCTCTAGCGCGAACTATCGTGACGTCATGTTTTCAGCTTGAATGCCGCCAAAAACAAACAACATTCGCTGAGGAAGTCACTTAAATTAGTTAAAAATAAAAAGAATGAAATGTAGTTACACTTTATGGAGGAATTCTTCGTATTGTAATTAATGCCCCCACTTAGTTTACCAAATTGCATTAAAAGTGTCTATAGGAAAAGAAAGAAATATTAAGCTTTTTTTTAAGTATATTTATTTAGTTTTTATTTGTATTTTTTCTTCTTCTTCTCCTTTGTTTTTGTTATCCCTGTTTATTTGTTTAAACATGTTTCAATATATGTGATATCTTTGACGGGGGGGGGGGGGGTCCAAACATCAAACATACAGTTTGGTGATTTGGTACTTGCAGTGGTGGTCTGTTTTGGGGCCCCCTCCCACTATGCGAAGTCACACAATTTATATATAATTATATATTTATTTATTATTTATTATATAATTATATATTACAAATTAAATAATGATACATTATAAATGAATGCAGTGTTACTGTTAATAAAAAATAAATACTTAATAAAAAAATAGGTGCCTACTTAAAAAAAAGTTGTAACTTTTGCTTTACTCTTTTACTAACTCTTTGAAACTTCTTAAAACAAACCATCTCAAAAAATATATATATAAATATATGATTTGCTAAAATAATGAGAAAACTAAGAAATCAGAAACAAAATAAGAGCAAGGGTTCAATAATGACAATTATTGTTGAAAACTGTAAAAAATATTATTATTTCTCAACTGTCTCGATACAGTGTAACTGTCCTCAAAATCTTTTTTTATTATTATTATTGTAACAGACTTTCATGGATTGTAAATGACATAATCCAACAAAGTATGTTACTATAATACCGGTTCTGATGTACTAGCGCTCGTGTGTATGCAAGTGTATTTTTCCCCTCGGGGCTTGCCGTAGATGGGTCCTGCGCACTTAGTACGGTCGCGAGTTTTTGGAGTTAGTGATCTGATGTGTGAAATAATAAAGAGGAGAAGAGTTCAAACTGCTGTGTTTATTATTTATTCAAACTGCAAAAAAGGTATGTGATATTATAAGTAACATGATGATTAGATAAATCATGTAGGTTCCAGTTCAAAGCTGGTGCGTTAGTGTAATGTTAACTTCTCTCTAACGTACCAATCAGATGCTCCGGTGAGTGAAATACATGAAGCGAATGGTGATTATTCAAACATGAAATGGGAAGGTTTAACCGGGTTTAAGGGTTTAACCTAACTATCACTCTGGGTTTGACTTGCTGGCAAAACCGAATCTCTTCTTTGTCGCGCATTAAAAATAAAAGTTCCAAATGTACAGTTTGTGTTCCTGTGGTAGGTTAGGTATGCAATTTTTGGGTGGGACACATCACATGCCGCATTTTTCAATATTGAGGGGGACACGTTCCCCCCGGTTCCTACGCCAGTGGTGAACAGTTGTATTTTTATTCATTAATCTGACTTTGCATCCATGCATTTAATTGCCATTTGCTCGTGTGATTGTAATATATATCCCAGTAGCATTTTAAATGATATAGTTGATTCTATAAACAACTATATAACTGAGATAATTTTCGTCTTTTTCCGGTGTGGTGAAGAGATGAGTCCTGTGGTAAGCGAAACCGGAAGTGTCCGACCGCACACACTCACACGGATCAGAAATCCAAAATGGCGGCCACGTGCAACTAGCGGAGATGCCCCAAGCTGATGATTGACTGTGTTGCTACTGTTATATCTTTTTTGCAGGTAAGATTACTTGTGTCTATTATAAGTCAAAGGGGTCCACGAACAGTTATGTTTAGTATTTGAGTATTTAGGATTTATGTTAAGTAACGTACGTTTTGAGCACGAAATTGTTATCACCCGTGGATAGAGCGTGATCAGAAACAACGCGGCAATGAAACTTCGTATGTGAAACGATAATTGGTATTATGCAATGGAGATGGAAAGACAGTATGCACAGTACTGTTATTTGGAGGTTGTGTGATATTGATGGGTAAAATAATAGTTTAAGTGACGCGAGTTCAGTAACACACGTGGAGTTCGCGGGTGTCCGCCATTTTGCGCAAGTTGCATGCAGAGGGGACATTACGCCCGTTTCACACATAATCCGTTTGCAGTGCGTATGCGGTCCGTATTTTTTTCCGTACCCATGTTAGAGCTTTCACACTGCACGCGGATGCAGTCCGTCGATCCGTTCCAGTTGCGGTGCGTATACAGCAGTGCAGAGATCGTTTCCGTACCGAGTCTATTTCTGCTGTGCTGCAAACGCAGAAATAAAGTGACAGCACACGGTTCGTGGTAAAAATGAACTCAGATTGACCTCGAAATGTAGTAGTTTCACCATAAATGCATTTAATTCAATAAAATGTAGTAATCTCTCCATAAAGGTATTTAATTGTTTCATATTTTTACTTTAAGACATCTTAATATACAAGTAATGCATGGAATTGTATGCATTCGTTGTTTAAATCGTGTTTAAACGAGCATGCGTCCATTCAAGTTTGTAAAAGAGAATCGCAAAGCCATGGCAAAACTTTTATTTTAAAAAAAGTTACTGCATATGGTGAACATATTTTGATTACCAAAAAGGCTCAAAAACCAGGACACATGGCCCAGAAAACAAATGATACTCGAAGTTTACTCAAAGATGCCTTATTAATTTCAATACAATTAAAATAGGCTATGCCCCCTCTTGTGGATAGAAAATTGTTGTATTAAGACACAAAATCAGATAGGCTTCTCAGAGGATACTCAACATGTTTTATTATGACAGGTTGGTTTAAAAAATAATGAATGAAATAATGATTAAAAAATAATGTCTCTTCTGTATTAGAAAAATAAATATATCAATATTAATTAACTAAAAGAAATACCTTCAAATTGAACAAAAATACCTCTCACAAACGTACAAAAACGAACTCGTTTCCTTCCTCTTTATCCTGTTTTTCCTCCTCATCCTCCTTGTCTGCTCATCTCCTATATTTTGCTATAAAGCTGATCTTTTCCAGCGTTTTTTTTTTTTTTTTAAACCAGGACATCACTTTATAAAAAACGGCCAGGAAGGACGTGAAAACAGGACTGGGATAACAGGACTGGTGGTCACTGGTCACGCTATTGCTGCATAACTTCTGATTTTGAAATAAAAATAGCGAGTGTTTGTGGTACAGCTCACGCAATGCAAACGCAGCATATGTGAAAGCACTTTAGCGCGTGCGGCTCCTGTACCGGATACGCACCGCAACACTCACCGCATACGCACTGTAAACGGAGTATGTGTGAAACGGGCGTTAGAGTTAAAGGCCAGCATTTGCATTAATCTTTCCATTGTTAGAAACCCAGTTATACTATTGAATGGTCGTGCAACACTTTCTCATTTTCCCCTGAGAGGAGAGAAATCTGCTATTGACCTTTTTCACTTCCTCCTACAAAGACGCAAAATTCGTCATTTTATGTCATAGTAGGAGGAAGTATAAGAGAGGGGGATTTCTGGAAAAACTACAAGCACAAGATCTCACCCTTTCAAACCCACCCATAGGGGGTTGGACCTAATGTGCTAACAGACCTATCACAGATCAGTGCCAGTGCGTCTGATTTCACAGAAATGTTTTGAAAATATGGACGAAGGTACTGAATACGCAGACGGATGCATTATGTAGGATTGGCATTGCACATCTTTTTTGGAAGCTAAGCTAGCAGGCTGTTGTCCTGTGGAGAAAGCTTAGTTATAGCTTTAGGTGTTACCATCCTCTTTTTCCCGGATATGTCCGGCCATCGATGTCCGGGATTCAGCTTTTGCTTTCTGTAGTTACAGCTTTTGTTTTAATCTAACTGAATTCATTCTGATGGCTGAATCTGAATGTAGTGTTTACATGAACGCTAAACAAGTGATCGGTTGATGTGGGTTTTAACATTGCTAAGAAAATTCCCGCTCCTCCGTGAGCGATACAAGACCAGTAACTTGCGTCTCAGTCTCAGCAAAAGCCGAATCCCGGGAATATTGGGCGATCTCGAAATGCATTTTCAGGCAGACGCATCACGGAGACTCACTAGCCTAGACTTGTTGTTTACCTACTGTGCGTTTACCGATAGGCGTGGCCTCCTAGGGCAGCGAAGCAAGTGCATTCTGGGAGTTGTTGTTTTTCATCCACATAAGCCAAAAATACATTTTCTGTCTTTTCTCAGTCTAGAAAGCTCTAAATTCAAAAATAATTCCACATTTCTTCTACATAAATACCCATTTTAAATACACATGAATCTTTCCAGAGGTGGAATGACCCTTTAAAGGTGCCATCTGGAACTAAAAATCAAAAAATATTCCATATTCCATAACAGATGGGGGCAGTATACCTCCAGAAAATGTGTTGTGCCGCTGCCGCACGCACTCACGTCTTCAAACAACACAAACGAGCGCTGTTTTGCTCTCTTTCTCCGCATATTATTCAAATCATTTGACACGATAGTAAAAGATCGGAAGACCGCAGTTTCACGTGGAGCATTTGGAGATTTTTAGAGATCAGAGACTCAATGAACAACATCTCAACACTAAATGATGAAGACCGACTCATAGACGCCTGTCTCAAAAACAAGCTGTTGCATTTCGACGATATGGGAAAATAAAAGCCTGCAGGCTATTATTTTAAGTTTACGGTATTCGTTTTGTTCATATTACACTTTTATTGTTAGTTTGAATTAATTTGACAGACAGCTTTCACTGATGTTGATCAACCTAGCGAAATTCAGAGCTGCCAGCTCTCACGAATTTACCGTGAGACACATGC